ATCTTATCCAATTCATTGGAAAAACCTTTTGGGCAGGTATATAGGTAAACACTAAAAAACAAATAAAAGTTTTGGTAGAACATTCATTTTGATAAAGTTTATCCTGCTTAGGAGTGACAGTGGGAGATTATTATAGGTCTGACTTCCCCTTTCTGAGCAGCTCTACAGTGTTATGCTTATGTAGTAAAGGGAGACTATTCAAAGTATTAATTCCTAAATATTGAAACCTAGAAGAAGCTAAGCAGAACGGCAGTGATTGAGCCGGCATCTGTTTTGCGGCTTCATTAAGAGGAAAGCATTCGCTTTTTTAATTTTCAACTTATAGCCAGAAAAGGAACCAAAAGTGTATAAAATGTCCAGAATTTTGTCCATGCAGACAGTGAGATTTGAGACATAGAGTAAAAGGTCATCTGCATAAAGTGATACTTGGTGTTCGTTCTTATATACCCCGTTAAAAAGCAGTGAGCTCTTAAGGGCAATGGAAAGCGGTTCTATTGCAACGGCAAACAGCAATGGTGATAGTGGGCATCCTTTGCGGCAGCCGCGTGTTAAAGGAAAGAAGTTGGATTGTGTCAAGTTTGTTTTTACATTGGAAACTGGGGCACTGATTATTAATTTAATCCACGAAACAAAACTCTGATTCAGTCACTTTTAATATTGTTGTGAATTTATATTCAATGTCCATCCGGGTTGGACGCCATATTAATGTTGTGAATAACTGTTATTTTAATTCCCAGCCAGCTGGGAGTTCATATTATGTTCTGATACTGGAAGATGTTTATTGCCCTCCCCTGTAGGGGGGGTAAATATCTCACTGAATTAGATATTATTTGGGCTGTTATAGACTGTTTATGACTCGCGCCCTACTACACTGTAAACCCGAACAAGTTCAGAAAACTCAATTTTTTTGTGGAAACAGATTAACTCACAGTTTTTGAGTCAATATATTAGAATATTTAAGTTTTAATTACTTACAACTTTTACATAATTAACAGTCAAACTTAACTCATTCTCTAAAAGTAAACATTGTAAGTGCGATCTACTTAAAACATTTAATTTAATTTGTATACATTTTTTAATTTCTTTGTAATAATTTGTTGGGATGATACGGTACTTAAATTATTAACTTTCTTTAAACTCAAAAAGTAAAACTATGTAGTAACCAAAAAGATTATTTTATACAGCTCATAACCTAAACTACTAAAATACTTTTTAAAGTTCAGAATACACAAAGTTCTTCACAAAACAATGCATAATTTAAATGTTTTATTCAAATGTATTTTCTCCAAAACTGTAAACAAACACTACAGACATTCGCGTCTGTATCGGTGCAAATTCTTTGCAAATGTATTACAGAAAAAAAAAACAAGGATCTTCGGTGGTCAAGATCAAATCCGGCATCTTAAAACCGTTTATCCATCAAACTAGCAAAGGGGAACAAATGCAAAATTCCTAAATATAAACACCTGTAGGAAACCGCTCATATCTTGAAAAACTCAAAATATACGCATGAATTACATAAAATAGGTTGTATGGTTATGATTAAATCACTGCAAATGTTTGTTTTTTTTATCAGAGAATTACATATCGTCTATATTGACAGCAGGTCATTTTTCAACGAAAGCAGAGATGGTTTCAGCACCATCATCCAAACCCATAAGCAGCTTCTGAATGAAGGTGAAGGTGCCAACAAGGGTTAGTCCAGATGCAAAGCATAAACAGCCCAAAAAGTAAAATGTCCCTCATGACAAATTCATCTTCAACCACTATAGCTGTGGATGCAGGACTGAAGGGAACTAGATGGACTTCTTCCTCTGATCTCTGTGACAATACCAAAGGTGTGTTCCTGACGTCCGGCTCCTCTGATTCCTCACTCTGGAAAATGAAAAAGGACTCTAACTATTTCTGAATACTAATAGAGCTGCCAACTCAACAATTAAGTATACAGCAAAGTATTACACAGTCGACCTTATTGACAGAAACACATTCATAAGGAATAAAAATATCGTAACTAAAACATTTTTCGTTATTATGATTATTGCACTCACTCCATGTGTTGCATGGACGGCGTGTTACATGGACGGCGTGT